CTCCTCTTCTTCTTCTTCTTCTTCTTCTTCTTCTTCTTCTTCTTCTTCTTCTTCTTCTTCTTCTTCTTCTTCTTCTTCTTCTTCTTCTTCCTCTTCTTTATAAGCAAAGCAAGGAGTCAGTCTAGTCTAGCTCTCTGGATCCTTGAGTCCCATGGCCTTACTTTCTTGAGAACATTCACAAATAGGGGAGAGAAAAGTGGGATTAAATTACACGCTCCCCAGACTGAGGATTCTGGAGGCTTTGCTGAGTAACGGTGATGTTGACCCTCTATGGGGTCAACACTGGGACAAAATTCCTCATAGCCATGCCTTAAAGGAGGACAGATTTATTTTGGCTTTTGGTTTCAAAGAGTTTAGTCTGTGGTTGGTTGACTCCAAGGCAGAAATGGCATGGCATAAAAGGATGGCAGAGCGAAGCTGCTCTGACCATGCGGCCAAGAAGCACAGAAGGGAGGGAGGTGCGAGGCCCAGTACACACCCTTCTAGGTCAACCCCCACTGACCCACCTCTTCTGACCAGGCCCCGCCTGCTAACAGTACATTTAGCTATGAAATCTTCAAGGGATTAATCCACTGATGAGCAGAGGATCCCTATGATCCATTCACCTTCCAAAAGCCTGAGCTCTGAATAGATGAGACTTTTGAGGACATTGTAGATGGAAAACATAACAGATTCATAATAAACATTGTATGACTATAGAACTGGCAAGTGAAGTGTATGCATAAGGAGATGATGACTTCCTTATTATTATTATTATTTTTTTTTTTCAGAACTGAGGATTGAACTCAGGCCCTTGCTCTTGCCAGGGAAGTGCTTATTCTACTGAGCCATCTCTCCAGCCCCAGTGATGACTTTCTTAATATGAAAGTGTGATTGAAAAATATAATTATTAAAGTGCCAGCTTAGGCAGAGCAGGGAGCAGGGTTCGATCTCTGGTGTGCCGTGCCAGCCCTACTTCCAGGGCTCGCTGAGATGGCAATTGAGACAGGGTGTGGTGGCATGTGCCTATAATTCCAGTACTTGAGAGGCTGAAAACAAGAGGATCACTATGAGTCTGATTTGCCTAGTAAGACCCTGTACTAAATATATAAAAAAGAAAAATATAATTAATGTTTACATTTTTAAAAATTTATCGGCTGGGGAGATAGCTGAGTAGAATAAGTGCACACTTGGCAAGTGCACGGTCCTGAGTTCAATCCCTGGTACCACCAAAAAAATTTTTTTTCTATCACAGTAAAAGGCACATTTCCATTAATGCCCCTCAAAATAAATCCCTCGCTTTGAGCACACTTATCCCATCATTCTTGCTGTTTTCTGAAGCAGTTTTGGAAGTCTGTTCTCTCGGTGTTTTTAGTTGTGCTGTTATGGCTGCCTCAGTGTCTTAAACCAATTCAAATTATTTACTTTTCACGGTCACTTTGAGTCTGGAGGAAATGGGATGTTGCCTGGTACCAGGCTGGTGAACACGTGGGGGAGACGCGTGGCTCGCCCTTCTACTGCATGGCGCTCAGCCGCATTCACTGTTTCTGATCACACTTTCTGAAGACACTAATGAAAGAGGACTTCCAGAGCTGTTTCAGAAAGTGCGACAATGATGGGATGAGTGTTTGAAGCAAGTGGAAGTATTTGAGGGAAATCAATGGCAAGCTATATCTATATGTTTTTTTAAATTTTTATTTATTTTTTATCTATATGTTTATAAATTTATAAATTTATATAAACATAAATTTAAAAATTCACTTTATTCCGATCACAATTCTGGTCCTTCATAGTCAGAATCACAGAGTTGGCTCTCAGAGCTGGTTCCAGGTATGCAAATTCCTTAGTCCACTCTTCTCTCCCTGATTGCCACTTTTTAGCTGGGTCATTAAAAAATTATTCATCCGTAAGAGTGGAAAGGCAGAAACTGGAGAGGTGCTAGGAGATCTATGAGTAAATCTCAGGTTCTTGTTTTGTCTCAAGATGCCAAGCTAAGCCAGAGGTTCCCTGGAGGTGACTTGATGGCCTCTCTGTTAAACCACCCCAATGTGCACTCGTTCACATTTCAAAAGCACTTTATTACCAAAATGAATGAAAGGAGAATGACATTTAAATTAAATAAATTACACAAGCATCTCAAGAGACAAAGCTCCCAGTCCTCCCTGGGAATAAGATCATCATAGGTCAGTATCAGTAAGAACATTCAAAAGTATTGAAATTCTGGATTATTCTATTACCTTACCCCCTCCCTCCCTGCGTTGGTATTATCCAGAAAAGTGGTTTGTGTAATAGTTGTGTTCTTCCCAAAATACCTCCACAGAGCAGTTTTCTCCACCTCGCCCCAGGTGGGAGCATGGGGTGTGCTCATTGTCCTGGATGGCTCACAGATCCTTTCTGGAGCCCGGACTCTGGCCACCATGAATTAGCAGTCCCCTGCAGTTCTGGTGCTGGCCTGGGCATTCGTTAATGGTCACTTCATCAAGTCCCCATGGGATCCAGACCTTTGTTTCAAAGGAAGACTCTGACTTAGGCTGTCCTCGGGCTCTGTGACCTTCCTCCACCTCTGGGCCTGAGCTAGACTTTGAAGGAGGTGGAGCAGGGGCGGGTGGGTTGTCATTGGCTGAGGCTTTTTTCCTCTTGGAATTTGGCACTTCAAGTGCTGGGCACGGTGAATCCCAGATAACATTGTCTTCCGCCTTCCAAGTTTTGAGTCCCATTGGCAGCCGGGCGGCATAATGAACTCACTGAGAAGCAGCGCCTCTGGCCAAGAATTTGCGGGTGCTGGGCCAGCGCCCTCTCCTTTAACTCTAGGAAGACTTGCTAGCCGACCAGCTCACCAAACACACAGACATACAATGCAGGGCAGGCTGAAGTTAGGGACTGGGATTTCTTCCCAGGCTGGGCCAGCCCAACCTGCTGGGACATGGAACTTGGGAGAAACAGTGAAGAGTGGCCAGAAGATTTTGTGCACTTCCATGGAAGTTTTACAAAGCACTTGCACATGGAACCTACAACTGTGGGGCTCCTCTATATATCTATATGGAGTTTCCTCTGGATGTACCTCCCTACATAGGTAGAGAACTGAATTCCTACTTTTGTCTTTCCTAGAGGAACATAGACTGAGGTCTCGAGGTTAAGGACACCCTGTGGAGTAAGATCCATCTGGACCCTCCCTCACCACCTCTGGGTCCCCTGAGGAGTGCAGCTGATCCTGTGAGACCTCCTCCCTCAACTGCAGGTGGGTCCCCTCCTGACTTCAGGCTTCAGGTTGATAAAGGAGAATTAACATGATTGGCTCTTTGCCAAGTGAAGAAGGATAAGGCAGATATCCTGAAGGGAGGTATTTTCCCGATAGGCCTTGAGGTCAGGGCAGCTGGTAGGACCCAGGTCCCCCCAGTTTGGCCTGGATTGGCACTAGCACCCGTCTCCTTCCAAATCTCTGGTAAAAAGCCTTTGGGCAGAGGCACCAGTATCTGCTGCTACGTTGCCAGAGCATTCTGCCAGTTGCCTGCCTCCCTGTTTCTTGAGCTTCTATTTGGCCTCCAGTGGAAGGGAGCAGCCTCTCGGGGGAAGCGAATGGCGCTTCAAGAAGCCAAGGCAGCCCCTTGGTGGGCCATCCCTGGGGAGGTAGCTCTGCTGGTTGGAGGGGGCTGGTCGCTGCCAAGGCTGGAGTTTGAGTGCTGAGCAGCAGTGGCCATTGGAAGAGGAAGGGATGTTTCACCAAGACATAAACTCCTAGGTTTTGGAGATCAAGTGCATGTGGTACACAGCTGCCAGGTATGGAGTTGGAGGAATCTGGAGGGGACAAGCCTTGGGCTCCTGAGCTTATCTCTGTGTCCTGTGATCGCAGGACATCCTTTTCCACCAACCTGTGTAGGCCCCAGGACCCTTACAAAGCTTGTACACCAGATCAGTGCAGTTGTCCTTGTCCTGTCCTTGGTTCACTCTCGAAGTCCGGAAGTCAAAACATTCCTGGCCTGCCATGGGCAGGGCAAGGTGGGCAGCATGGAGTGGGCCGAGGCTTGGGCACTGCTGCTCTGAACTGAGGCTGGAGGAGGTGAGTTCCCTAGGCTCTCACCCAGGGAGGAGCAGGGGCAGTGGTGAGCTCTTCCCGCTGAGGGAGAAGGGGAAGGAGAAGGAGGAGAGAGAGCAGAGCCAGGCTTCTGGTGGCCACACTGTCCTCCCCTGTCACTCTTTGCAGTCCCTGGTGCCAGGTGCTCTGGAGGCAGCATGGGTAGCAGCCGGGCCTCACAGGGCGGTCAGGGTCTCTGTGTGGAACATGCTCCCGAACATCTCCTGCATGGGTCACAGGGAGGAATAGGGAGAGGGAGAGAAGGTATTAGATCTGTGGGGGCCAAAGGGACCATAGCCAAGAGGTGACACTGGCTAGAGCAAGGCACTGTGTGTGTGTGTGTGTGTGTGTGTGTGTGTGTGTGTGTGTGTGAAGAGGGGAGGCAAAGCCACACGAAGAGGGGCACTTATGTCATGATGATGGACGAAGGTGCTGGACCCACTCATCATGGCCTCTGGTGTCCTGAGTGACCTGTCGTTTGTCATGTGACCTTCCCTAGTGTTTCAGCTTCACTTTCTCTATTAGGTGAAATGAGGGTTGAGACTGGAGAAGCTGAGAATTTTTTCTCACTTTGATTAGCTAGCATTTCAGTGCTATCTAGACTTTATGGGAATGTGCTGGAGATTCCGAGAAGACATGGAAATCATTCGCCAGATCTCCGTGATCCTCACTCTATTTTCTACTGTCTCCACCTGCCATTGGCTCTCAGAGATGTCTTCAGAGATCCATGGAAGTCAAACCACAAAGAATACAAGTGACCCAGAGATGGGTGTTCTTTTCAATAGATTCAGAGACAGCTTTCTCTAAACTTTTACATTTTTGTAAATTCAGGAGGTTGGGGGTAATTCCCATGGGTCTGATGGGGCATAGGCTTTAGTGTATGTCTGCATCGCCTTTAGATTTTTTTTTTTGCGGAACCAGGGATTGAACTCAGGCCCTTGCGCTTGCCAGGGAAGCACTTATTCTACTGAGCCATCTCCCTGGCCCCTCGCCTTTAGTTTTTAAGAGCTGTGTACTTGTGAAAATATAATATACCCTAGAATTTCTGATAATAACATACCCCCAGGATCCATGTGATTCTACCAAGATAGAGCTCCCAAGGGCTGGGGTGGTGGGTACAACTGTGTCAGGTGAGGAACAGTCACTCTGTAAACACATGTTGAATGAATGAACGAGCACACGAATCCCCTGGCCTGATGAGCTTGTAAGGGATAAGCATTGCCCATGTTTCCCTGATTTTACAGATGACAACGATGGGGCCACAGGAGTGTTCTGCGGCTCTCCCAAGACCACAGGGCTAAGCAGAGCTGTGGCTCTCTAGCATTTGGTCCAGACCCTTCCTTTCCCAGGCTGCCTTGCAGGTGATGGGAAGAATGTCAGTCTGCTTTCAGAGAAAGATGAAGATGCAACGTACAAGACTGGCCTTCAAGATGCCTGTTGTAGCCAGGTGTGGGGGAGCACAGTGAATCCCTGTCCCAGAGAGGGTCCCCTTCCTTTCCCTCCCTCAGCTCCATCCCTCTGCTCACCTGCTCTAAGTCCCAGTAGCCCGGGCTGTGCTCCTCTGAGTCACACAGGGAAAGCTCGGTGTCTCCTGGGGCCTGGATGGAGGGAAGCAGGTGCAGATGAGCTCAGGGACCGCACCGCGTGGCTATAGGAAGAACGCGTGGTGGGCTCTGCGCTGGCACCGCGTGCCTGCATGTTTCATCCACTTGCCTCTCCCTCACCTGTCTCACCAAATAGAGCACTAAATAGAACCACGGGCAGGTGTGTGCCAGGCTGGCCCTTGCTAGCTGGGGGTGGGGCAGTCTTCCCCAGCTTTCAAGGGTGACTGACTAGTGACTGATTGTGGGCAGCTCCTTTTCTCTCTGCAAATCTGCAAAAGTGGGATCATCAGATTCACTTTGCTGGCTTTCTCCCTTACTGTACCACAGAAAAGGAGGTGTGCGTGCATGTGTGTACACATGTGTGTAATTTATACACACAGGAGTATAGACTCTGTTGGGTAAATTAGACTACATGTAGTGTAAATTACTTATAAGCATATAAGTAATACCTGATATGCAGAGAAACTATAACAACTAGACATTATTGGTGAGATAAGGGCAGTGAGGATTCATAAGAATCTTCCTGTTTGGTCTGTGAACTTGGTTCTCAAAGTAGGGGAGCCAGTCCCTCCCTACCCCCCAATTCGAGTTTCCCTCTAGGTGTGGAAGACGGGAGCCAAGACACGCCTGAGTCGTCCTGGGCACTCTCAGGGCTGGGAATAGATGGTGTCACCTTCATCAGGCTCTATGGTAAAGAGCAAATCGCTGCTGCTGGGCCAGAGCAGTCTCCTATGACCTGCAGAGGACAGGGGAGGATGGGGGCTGGGGCATAGAGTCTTGGGAGGGGAGGGCAGGGAGAGCTAGGCAGGATGAGCTGGGTGTGGGGATAGGAAGACTGGGGCAGAGATCCCAGTGCAATGGGATTTCTCTGACTCCTCAGCTTTCCAGAGGCCTCAAAGGACATGCACCATTGTTATTGGTGCCTCATTTGCATATCACTTACCGAGAACTAGTAAATCAGACACTGAGAAGCTGAGACAAAGCTCAGACAGCCTCTCCATCCATCACCAGCCAGAAATCCTCAAGCCCTGCTGAATTGTAACTGGAATGCTCTCTCTGCTCTCTCTCTCTCTCTCTCTCTCTCTCTCTCTCTCTCTCTCTCTGTCTGTCTTTCTGTCTGTCTGTCTCTGTCTTTCTCTGAGACAGGGTTTGCTATGTACTTCACGCTGGCCTTGAACTCACATAGCCCAGACTGGCCTTGGACTTCCAGAAATTTTCTGCCTCTGCCTCCCAAAGGCTGGGATTACAGGTGGGCACCACCACACCTGGCTAGGGCTTTCTAGAAAGAGAGCAGGAGGCTGTGGTTGAGAAATGCAGATGTAGGACATCATATGCAAGCCTTTGGGTGTTGGTTCAATCAGAAAGTTAATAGTAATAAAGGGTTTTAACAAATAATATATACATTACTTTCAGGTGACATAAAATATATAATTATTATTTAATCCTAAAAAAAACCAAGAAAGCTCTGTGAAGTAGGTAATGGTAGCTAATGCTATCTACAGATTAGGAAATTGAGATTCAGAAAAGTAAGGTGGCAGAACTAAACCCTCTCCCAGTGCCCCTCGAACTGGCTAGGGCAGTGCCTTTGAGCCCAAGTTTGCTTCGGGTGAGGATCCTACCTCTTGGGAGCTCTGCCCTGGGACTGCTTCTCTGGCATTTTCCTGGGCAAAGAGGACTGCATCGTGTATGCTGGGGAAGATGTGGTCACGTTGTACACACCCGTCCTCAAAGACCCCTCCATGGCTGATGTCATTGTACACCTGGGCTGGAAGGATGCAAGGTCAGGTTCAGAAAGAGAACAACAGTGGTAGATTGGTGCTAAGGGGTCGGGGCTGGGGGGACCAGAGGAGGGAAAAAGGAACAGAGAGAGGTCTGAGGTGCATCCTAGGGCTCTGACTGGGAGTTAGCATTGTAATATCAGCCCTGGACAGCAGAGGGCAGCATGAGTTTGAGTATGCTGAGCTTTCAACCCCGGCAGAAGGAAGTAGTTTGATTAGAGTTGGTACTCTGCATGACTCCAGAGGGAAAGGGAGAGGGCTCAGTGGAATAAGCGCTTCCCTGGGGCCTGAGTTCAACCCCCAGTCCCATTAAAAAAAAAAAAGTCCTCCATCTGCAAGGAGGCCTCCGCCCATTATATCTCCCAAGGCCCACGCGTTCCCTATTTACATAGATCTTTCCTGTGACTCTGGTGCATGCCCCTACTCTTACCAAATTCTAGAGTGGTTCCCTGAGGGAGTAATCATGGCCCCAACCGTCTGCAGTACGCCGAGTGTGTGCTCTTTAGGTGTGCTCGTGTGGTGTGTCCTGTGCACTTGCTGCACTTCCATACCCTGCACTTGGCCTCTGTGCAAATGTCGCCAATGCCCACTGCTCTGTGACCTTATGTGTGTAAGACTGCATCTCAGTGTCCCCTGGGGATACGGCGCATGCTCTGTGTTTACCTAGATTCACAGGCCTGACAGGGACAGGGGACCCAGCTTCACGGAGCCAACCCTCCACAGGTGGGCAGAAAAGTCATCTGGCTCAGGATACAGAGCAAATCAGTGATGGGGCAGATGACAACCTTGCTGTCCTTCCTCAGCTCCAGGGATCCTAACCCTGTTACTGAGACCTTCTAGGGTATTTATACAATCTTCTCAGTCTCTCTCTCTCTCTCTCTCTCTCTCTCTCTCTCTCTCTCTCTCTCTCCCTATCTTTTAGCACTGGGGGTTGAATCCAGGGTCTTTGCACTGAACTGCACTCATCCCTTCTTTTCTCATTTGAGACAGGGTCTCACTAAATTGCCCAGCTTGAGCTCAAACTTTATAGATTTTCCTGCCTCAGCTTCCCAGAGTGCTAGGATTACATGTGTACACCGCCACACTTGGCTCTGGCCAGTCTCTTTTGACTTGGATCTGAAGTTCTTACAACTAAGCAGCAGTTTGGAGGAGCATTAGGGTGCTGTCCTCTCTTATTCAGTCCCCACCAGCTTGTTCCACTGCACCTCCCTCTCCAGCCTTTCATGCCCCTCTGTGTCTGGCTTTTCTTACCGTGGATGTTTACCAAGAAGACCTTGACTCCGATCTTCCCATAGGTGGAGCTCAGCTGCAGGTGTTGGAGGGCATTGGGGGTGGGGAAGAAAAGGAAAAAATGTTCTGAGTGGGTCTCAAAAGTGACTCCCAAAATGCACTTCAGAGAGGAAGCCAAACAAGTAAGCATCTCTGAGAGGCTGGACTGCCAAAGACAAAAATAGCAGCTGAACATAGCACTTCTCTCTGGAGTGTTGGCTGAAGGCACTTGGAGAAAGTGGGACGGAAATGAGACTTGGCCAATGTGGCGGGCACTTAAAGCCACTGTGGCCCATCTCACAGTATCAGATCTTTTTGCTCAGTAACTTAGACTCTTAGCTTTACCTCTTTCCCAATTTTATGGCTTTGTGCAGAAGCTGCAGGAAAGGACAGAAGCTCAGAGAGCCCAGCCTTCTGCCAAGGCCAGAGCTCCAGGACAAGCCAGGGAAGCAGGCAGAGGCTCAGGGCTGGGCATAGGGCCTTCTCTGCCTCAGTGATGGCCACAGCAGCTCCATCAGAGCCCCTGCCCTCAGGTATGTGCAGTCACAGTGTCCTGAGCATTGGAGCACTGAGTTCAGTGCTCTTCTGTCCTGGGTTGGCCAGTGAGTGTGGAAAGAGCCACACAAGTGAGAGACTAACAGGACTCTGCAGAGGCCCTGTGTGTGGGCTCCTAGTAGCCTGAGAGGGTGCTTGGCATGGCTGTGCAGGGACTCACTGTCAGGACCCTGCTCAGCAGAGAGCATCTTGTCCTGCTCACATCAGGAGGCTGAAGGTCCAAGGCCTCCTGGGATAGGAGCGTGGAAGACGCAGGTGTGTACACCCTCACGTGGGGCCTCACCTTGGCCAGGGCTTTGATGCCCATCAGGTCCACAAAGCTGACACCACTCATGTCCAGAACGAGAGTGTGGAAGGTGACAAAGGGTGGGACACTGGCCAGAGTGTCAGTGGGCTCTCTAGGGGGCTCACACGGGGCAGCTGAGGTGTCCGGGCTGAAAGTGATGTAGGATATGCCGGCGCCGTTGGCCAGTGTCTGGTTGTTGTTGGGGTCGGTTGGGGTTGTGTTCTCAAAGTCTTGCTGTAGTTCCTGCAGGGAGACCGTCTGGGGGTGGCGGTCAGGGAGGGGACAGTCAGGGACCATGGAACTGAGGTGGACTTGGCTGTAGCTGAAGAACCGGCGGGAGGGAACAGGTTGAGGTATGACTCAGCTTGGAGGTGTGAACTCAGGTCCTGAAAAGTCCCCAGGAGAGCCCCCAACTCCCTTCCTGTGGCAGGGCCTGTGAACTTGGTCTCCCACACCGTAAAGAACAGAGGACCCTTCCACAAGGGCCTCAAAGTCTTGGCCCACCGTGCTCTGGGAGGAAGTTTCCTTGGGGACAGTGGTGCTCCCTTTTGCATTTATCTATGTCTGCTTCTCCCTACCTCTGACTTCCTCCCCAGCCTTGCTATTCGAGATTGGCCCACATCCTCAGAAGTTCACTGCTGTGTCCCTTCTGGGCTTGTTCGTGGGTCCCTGGGCAATGTCCTACCTTAGCCAGAACATGAGAGGGCAGTGGTTCCCCAGGGAGCTGTCAGCATCTCACTCAAGAAGAATATTGCCTGGCTGGGCTGCTTTGGGGCAGCACTCAGAGACTTGCTGTCTTTTTCACACTAAAGTTGGGGTGCTAGGGACAAGATCAGAATGGGTGGCCTCCTTCACCTTGGTTTTCATGAAGAGAGATTTCCTCTGCTGTGTGGGCATCATCCTTTTCTCCTGCTTGCGGAGGTGTTTTTGCTTGGCAAGTAGTACTTTCTGGGGGTCCATACCTGTCTGTGGGGGAGAGCCAGCAGCAGCCTTGATCTTAGCTCTTTGTGGGGCTGGTCTGCTTTGAGCCCAAGTCCCTTCCTGTTTCCATCTTCTGGCCATGCCCTCTCAAGCCTTTCTGGCCACCAAACTTGATCCTTACCTTGGCAATGACCTTTTGCCTGAAGATCTCTGAGTTGGCAAAGTAGAGAGGAGAACAGTAAGTGACGATCTTAATCCCCTCAGTGTCCTGGACCTGTGACATGGAGACTGAGCTCAGGTTGCAGAAATGTCTTTACTGTTTTTGCTGCGCATGGTGGTGTACACCTGTGATCCCAGAATTTGGGAGGCTGAGGCAGGAGGATCACAGTGAGTTCAAGGCCAGCCTAAAGTACATAATGAGATCTTGCCTCAAAACACAAAACACAAACAACAAAAAAGTCTTTACTTTTTTTTTTTTTTTAAAACATGTCTTACTGTGAGGGTAGTACAAAAGGAGGTAACAAACACATGGGTTACTTACCCTACTGTATGTCTTGGGGTTCACATAGATGTCAGTGTCCATGACCCGGGCCAGTGCATAGCCATTTCGACTAGATGTGGAGAAGAAGAAAACAGGAGGATGCCAATGGTGGGGGTTCTGGAAAGACGTGGGGTGGATCCAGGGCAAGACCTGCTCCCTGGGCTCGTGTTTGCCTTTCTGCACTGTAGCTCTCCTGGCAGCCTGTGGTTAGGGGGTGTCACCAGGTAGGTGACAGGCATGCCCTTGGTGTAGCTCGCTGACTGCTCAGGGAAGGTGTGGCACACAAGGTGACACATGTAAGTGGCCCTGAAGTCACCACTTCCTGATTCTAAATTCTCCACACTTGATCTTAGCCAAAAGGCCAAGAAGGGATTCTGAATTCTCAAGAAGAGGAGGAAAGGTGTCTCCAGTCTTTGGCGTCCTCCCCTCCTGGTCCAGCCCTACTCTGTGGTGCCCTTGGCCTTCACTAAGGGATCCTTTCTAGGACTAGCATGCATCTGTGCTCTGCCTGGTGTTTCCCTGGGGCGGGTCTCAGGGGGTCTGCGGTGCAGCTGGCACTTCTAAAAGGATGTTGGGTCCTACCCATCTGCTGTCCTCTCCTCTCTCTGTGTCCCCTGACTTTCAAGTCTGTGATGACCCCCCTAGGGGTCAGGATATAGGAATCCAGACAGTCCAGCAATCCTGTCTGGGTCAGGGTCTCCCCAGGCCTGGTAGCACCTCCAGTGCCAGGCTCCCAAGGTGGAAGGCACAGTGGATGGCCTAAGCTGGGGCCCCTTGGAGGCTGGCCTAGTGATTCCTCTGCTGAGCTTGGGGTAGGGGGAGACTGTTAACTTACAACTGGGTCTGGAAGACCACAACCAGGATGGAGAAGGCAACACCCACTGCCACACCATAGGGTAGGCTCAGGAAGAAGGAGGACAGGAAGCTCACCACCCAGACACACTGTGAGGAAAGAGATGTCAAGAGCAGGCTTGGGGAGAAAAACTGCCTCTCTCAGGAAGTCTTCCAGGGTTAAACAAGGTCACTCTCTGCTAGCACATTTTCAGACCTATCTTTTCCTTTATAGTGCAATTGTGCAATGATTTACATATTTGTGGTTTGGTTATACCTGCCTGTTTCCCTTAGATTGAGTGGCTGCCTGATCTCTCCCTCCCTCCCCCTCCCCCTCTCCTCTCCTTCCCTCCTTTCCTTTCCCTCCGTTCCATCCCTTCTCTTCCTTTCCCTCCCACTCCCTCCCCCCTCTTTCCTTCCCTTTTTCTCTCTCCTTTTCCTTGATGAGAATCTAGCCCAGGAGTCTACACATGCTGGGCAAGTGCTCCACACCCCTAGACCCTTGCCTGTTTTAAAGACAGAAACACCAGCCTGCGTAGGGAGGCACCCTGGGCATAACTGAACCATGCACCTTGAATCTGATATGCCAGGGTTCAGAGTTTGGTTCTCTTACTTGTGTGAGTGGTGGTTTCTTAATGTACAAACTTATCTCATGAAAGGACTAAAGAGTCAGGGAATGCAAGGGTTCAAGCCCTGTGATGAGACCAGTGGGTAGTGGGCGGCTGTGAGCTCTCTTTCTAACAGTAGGCTGTGTGTACATTGAGAATCCTCAGCCCTGAACTGACAGCTGGGGCAGGGGCCTGATTGCATGGGCTGCCCCCACAGGCCATTAGTGACCCTCAGATTCCTTTAAGGGAGTCAGTTGTCCAGATTCCTGTAGAGAATTTTTGTGAAGATCAAGGGAAAACACAAAACACTATGGAAATGTAAGGCACTATTGCCGGAGGAGGAGATGGTTGGGAAGGCAAGAGTTGATCCTTGGGACTTGCTGTTTCTTCCTTTCCCCATCCCAAGCTCACGTGGGGGGCCTCAGATGGAGCACTCACTTCTCTGGCTTTGAGGATTTGCTTTGGTGCACCAAAGGAGTGAGCCTCCCTGTCCCGGAAGGCAGGACAGCCCAGAGTGCTGAACCTGGAGACTCGGAGTTTCTATCCAGACTCCACATGCTTCCTGTGTGGCCTTGGATGATGTACTGAACCACCCCAGCTTTGATGTCATCATCTTTACAGGAGGTTATTAAATCCTCTCTTTAGTTATGGTGGGCCTTACGTGGACATAGTGCCGTATGAGCAGTATACAAGGCCTCTCTTACCAGTGCTCAGTGGGAGATGGAGTTGGTGCGTGTGACTAATCACACCCCAAGTCACGCTTGGGGGCTGTTTAGGGTTGCACGCTGCTGTCTCACTGCGATCTCGTCTAACCCTCAGAACCAGGCATGGTATGGCTATGGCTCTGCCCATTTACAGCTGCAGTGAGAGAAGCCTGGAGCAGAAGCCTGGCCTTACTCAAGACTCTGGTCCTCTGGCTTTCTCTACTCAACTTTCTCATAAAATGAATCTTTTTGCTGTTCTGGAGCTAGAAACCAAGGAAGTAATAATAGGGAAGTTTTAGCACAAATGTAAATCAATATTGTCTCAATTCGAAGTCTCTCTCAGGGTAAAGGCAAGATACCCATCCCACAGGGAGATTAAGGGACTTGCTATTGGTCACAGAGCCGGTGAATGGCTGAGTTAGGATTTGAACCCAGGATGCCTCTTGCAGACTCTGGACTCCAGGCCTCTAGACTATTCTAAGGAGGGCCCGGCCTTAGGCCAGTCTGTGGGGCTGGAGGAGGCACAGGGCCACAGATGGGTGCCTGGCGGCTGCCCAGTACCCACACAGTCCAGCTTGCTCTTCCTCCATAGGTAGTAGGGATCGGCGAGCTGCTTGAGGGAGTTCTTGAGGTTGACAGCTATCAGGGCTCCCAGCACAGCCTGGAGAAGCAGAGCATTGCTTGGTGTTACCTGGAGTAGCCCCTTCACCTGCCCTTCCCCCACAACCTGGCCCTGCAGCCTGGCAGGACAGAGCTGGAGCCCTGCAACATGCCCCCAAACCTCTCCACTCAAGCTGTGGATTTTGTCCCAGCTGCATCCTTGTACTTCCTCTCCCCTCATCCCTACTCAGCCCATGCATAAGGCCACGTGGCTGGGACCAGACATTGTGTCTGCGGGTCAGGCTCCGAGGCTAGAAGACCCAGAGTTGAGACCAGCCCCATTCTGTGAACTGTTTCACCAGCCTCAGTCTCTTTCACCTGTGAAACAGAGAGTAAAACCTTCCCCTGTCTACCTTACAGGCTATGACTGATGCTAAGGTTGATAATGACATTGCTTGGCCCCATGCTTGGGGATGGCTTGTCTTGGAGCCTCCCACTATCTTTGCTCCCTGGCTGGGCTCTTACCTTGGGGAGAGGGTACAGATAGGTCCCCAGGACCAGCATGGTGATCATCACCACCAGAGACACACATAGGCTGGCTACCTGTTCAGAAAAAGAGTTGGGAACAGGGGAAGGCTGGCTCTTGGTTGGTTCCCAAAAGATGCCTTTTGTGACCTGGAGATCAGGTTGGAAGGAGACTGGGAAGAGCTGGCCCGGGCTACAGTGCCTGGCTTCTCGGGACAGCTGTGAGCATCCCTGCGTGGCTCACCTGGGATCTTCCTCCAGCTGCATCCACAGCCAGAGTGACAGAGAGCGCACAGCAAATGACGTGGATTTTAAAGAAGGAGCCAAAGAAGTTGCTGCAGCCCAAGGCGATCATCTCCTGTGGGGAGAAGGACTGCTTGGGCAGGGAGCAGGGGTGAAACTAGTTGGCCATGCACGCTGGATCTTGGGTCTATGACTTCAGCATGATCCTGTGCTATAAGGTCACATGCTGCCAGTCAGGAGGAAGGCAGTCTGTTGGGGTGAGAGCCCCCACCCCTGGCGACTGCCTCATCTCAGATCAGAGCCCCAAGGTGCCTCTTGCACAGCTTGTGGCAGTGCCCCTCCTTCCTCCTCCCCCAAGGGTGGCCAAGCTACCTGGTTAGAATCTACATTGTAGCCATGCTTGCCAGCCAGGGTCCGGCCCATAGCCAGGTTGATGACGTAGCCCACAATGGCCAGGGAGAAGGCCGTGCCAATCATGTCCTTCCACTGTGAAACCACAGGCGACACCGGAGTGGGGAACCTGCCAAAGTGCCAGAAAGGAGGCAGGCCCAGGGATGTGAGGAAACAGAGGCAGCCAAAACTGTCCTCACCTTCAGAACCCCACAGGGCCCTGGTACAACCGAACTCATCCAGTCTTATGTGGAGCAGCCCCTGTAGGCAGGTACCACTGCTCCTGTTTCTTCAAGGCTTAGAGAACCTAACCTGTGCAGCGTAAGTGCTAGGGCCTTACTCATCCATGCCCGATTCTGCCTGGTCCCCAGTGTTGTGTCTACCCTCCCTTGCCTGTCCCTCCTCTGCAGATCAAGCTTTGTCTCTGTTTTCTGGGATCACAGCATGCTGCCTGGCTCAGTTTGGCTGATCCAAATAGCTTCCTTTCTGCCTGAATCAAAGGAGCCAGTGCATAACATCATGGAGAAGATACAACAAGGAGCCAACCAGAAAGGGTCGACTATCAAGGGCAGACAGACTTTTCATAACCAGCATGGGCTGGCTGTGTCGCTCTTCTTAGTAAGAGGCAAGAGTGATGATTTACATATTGTCAGTATACACTTTCTAATCCCCCTTCCCTTCCTCCTTCCCTCTCTCCCTTTCCTTTATTGTACTGGGGATTGAACTCAGGGCCTTCACACTGAGGTACATCTCCAGCCCTTTTAAGTTTTTTTTTTGAGATAAGGTCTCACAAGTCACTAAGTTGCTCAGGCTGGGCTCGAACTTGCAATCCTGTTTTATAGCCTCTGGTCAAGTGTCCTGGATTTTAGGGTTGTGCCTCCATGTCTGTCCTCCAGTGATCTCCATCTGAGGCCAGGCTTTGGTGGGGGCAGACTTTGGGCCACCTGGACTCACCCACGTTGAATCTGTCCCACGATCTGCATGTGATACTTTTGGGGCATCTTGCAGCTCCCAGAGATAGCTGTTGCCACCACCACCTGCAAATTCCAAATGCAGAATGGGGGTGGTCCCTAAGTTGGGCTCAAGGGGTCTCTCCCAAGTTTGTCTTCTGTGTGGGCCCCCCACTCTACTCTTCTGCACCTTGGGGCAGCTATGGGGAGGACAATATGAAGAGCAGGAAGAGCCACACACAGGGACATGGAATGGATTCTCTCATGACTTCCTGTCCCACTGGCTACCCGTGGAGAGGTCAGGGTGAGGGATGAGGGGGTCCCCGGCCCTGCCCAGAGTGGGGGTCCTCTCCTCACAGCCCCTCCATCCTGGCTCCAGGCAAGGTCCTTACCACAATCACCTCTGTGGGGATGGGGAAGCGGATCTTGTTCATGTATCGAGCGTTGAGCTCCTTCACCACCACCAGAACCAGCCCGCTGATGAGGGCGAAGACAAGTGAGGCAATGTTGGTGTGGGGGAGATTTTTGCAAATGTCGATGAATGTCTGGTGGAGAGAGCATCATGTTCACAGATCTTGCCCTTTCTTCCCACACAGCCCCACCCTGGGGTGCGTGAGCCAGGGAAGAGATGCCCATCAGTGCTAACGACGGAGGCATACGAAGGCCGTGAACAGTGTCTCACCTGCCACCACCCCCTCCCGAAGGCACCTCAGGAGCTGGGATAAGACTGCTTTCTCTGTTTCTCTATAAGAGCTCAGACTGAAAGTGGAAGGATGGAGATCAGATTTAAGGAAGGACTTCTCAGGCAGGGAGGGTTGAGGCACTGGAATAGGGAACCCATGGAGTACACCTCTCTTTTTTGGCAGAATTAACTGCAGTCTCAGCAAGCCCCAGAGAACATGTGTTTGACCCCTGCCTAATGGTGGAAAGCCCCCCTCAGAATCCTTTCTGAACAACAGTTCAGCCAGCCCTTGCTGAGGACATCTCAGAACAAGCAGCTTGCAGCTTCCTCAAATAGTTAACTCTGCTCCTGTGATAGCTCAGTGCCTGCCTCACTTGCAGGTGTGCCCCAGACTCACGAGGACGATGGACCCTGGGCCTGAGTAGGAGGGGACGGTGAGTCCGAAGATGTACTTGAGCACTGAGATCAGGATCTGCAGGCCGGCAGCCGTCATGAAGCCCCGGACAAAGGACTCAGAGAGGTAGATGGCCACGAAGCCGAACTGCATGAAGCCCAGACCCATCTGGAAGGGACAAGAGGGTGGATCAGGAGGGGCTATCTGCTCTACAACCTGCCTGACCCCAACCCCGGGCCTGGAGCCCCATGCAGTGTGGGACAGCAGTGGCTCTGGGGAAATGAGCCCTCTATGACCTTGTGGTGCTCTTCACTGTGCCCTATGTGCCTGCTACAAGACGTCAGTTTTTGGGGACATGGGCCTCTTTGTTAGTTCACCTCTCTTGCTTGTAAAGCAAGCCTGGCTGTCCCTCACTGCTTCCTGGCTTGGATAATGGCACCACTGTACACTTGGTTGCCTAACTAAAAACTTGGGAGTCACCTTCTCTGTCCATATCCAGCCTCATGCTCTGTAAAGCTTTTGGTAAAATGTCCCTTGTGTCTGCGTTTATCTTCCTCTCCACAGCCACTGCCCTGGTCTGGGCCCTCGTCACTTCTTCCTGAGTCTCTGCATGGTCCCTGCTGTTCCCCACATGGGTTCTAATCCACCTCCAGCCACTTTCTTTGCAGCCCAGTGATCCTTATAAACTGTCAGTTAATAATAATAATAATAATAAACTGTCAGTTAGACCCGAGGCCATTGTTTAGGGGGCACAACACAGAATTTTCTCTCTGTCCCCTGCCTCTGTTTCTGGTCTCTTCCTGCCCCTGTGCCACACTCCTTGCTGGTCAGACTCCTTGCTAGACTCTCTCCATGCTACTCTCCCCTGCTGGGATCACCCTTTGGCACCTGTGCACTCGGCTCCTGGTTAAATTCTACTCATCATGTCAGAGTTCAGACGTCACCCCCTCTTTGAAGTCTTCCTGGCAGTCTCTTCTTGTTTCCAACAGCCATTGTACATAGCTGTATTGTGCTACTTATCTCTACACTCACACATTTATCTGTGGACATGGCTACTTCCTCTGCTGGCTGGGAGCAACTTGTGAACTGGGCCTCTTTCTAACTTATCTTTGTGCTCTCAGACCTTAGCCCAGTTCTTGGCACAGAGAAACAACCAAATACACACACACACACACACAGACACACACACACACACACACACTGAATTAATGAAGGGTGTTCATCCCTGACACTGCTTCTTGAGCTTTTGTTCTATCATGCTGGGCTTCCCTTCCTAGAACTTAGGGACCCTTTTCTCTCCTCGGTAGCAGCTAAGGTTCTGTTGTGTGCCTGCCACAGGCTGGAGGGCCCCCCATGAATGCTGACAGAGAGTTGGGGCAGTGGAGAGAGGCTGTGGATCTTCCCAGGCAGTTTTAAGGTTCAGGCCAATTTCATCACTACCACTGGATTTAAATATGGTCTGCTAGATGCAGGGGAGAAGCTACTCCCAAAGTTTAAAGTCCTTTTGGGCCCAGGCTAGGGGGTGGGGAAGAGGGAGGAGGTAGATTTGACATCACATCAGAGGCTTTGAGGCAGGAGCAGGGTGTTTCTCTACCCTTCTGAGGCAGGGCCTTGGTGAGCCTGGGACATCCCCCTCACCTGGATGATGGCAGTCAGGCAGGCGAGCGTGGCTGACACGTGCAGTCTCTCTGTCTCCATGGCTGCAGTGTCTACATAGCTCTTATTGGTGGCATTGTTGAAGACCTGGAATTTTGACTCTGGGGCCAGCTGCAGACAGATGTTACCCACCAGGATGCTGATAACGGCAAAGGTACCTGTGGTGTCCCATGCAGCCAGCAGAAATCAGAGGTTGGGAGCATGCTCATGGAAACCAGCCAAAGGCCCAGGGACACGCCCCAGCCCCCAGGGGATGGGTTTCCTTATCAGCACCACCCCTCTCTGTACCACAACAGAACTGTCATTCACACTTGCCACCACCTACACTTGCTAAGTGCTCTTTCCACATCTGTCCAGATGCTCTCATTGGACATATGAATTCAGAACTATAAGCAAATCCTGTACCAGAAAGTGGCCCTGGTGACTGGGTCCTTTCTCTCCATTTCACTTAGCATTGGAGAGCTCCAAATGTCCTTGTAGTGGACTGATGGGACCAGCCTGGGAATTTAATGGTGCTTTCCTGCATTGATTTAGCCTGAGTAGTGTATGGTATGGTGTACTGTATTCTGTTAAGTCCTCTTCTCCTGCCAGGGAGGGAGCTAGAATAGGTCATGCTTCCTGACCTCACAGAGGCTCAGTGGTTTCCCAAAGGTCACTGAGGACAGTCAAGGTCACCAAGGACCTCCAAAGTCACTGAGGACCTAGTGCCAACACGGCTGATCATCTCTCTAGGACCTATCTACCCCAACTCTGGGAGAAAGCTGATGGCACCTGGGCCTTCGTCACCATGCCACTCATCCTCAGGGTCCAGATCATCCTGTCTGGAAAGGGGCATGGGCTTACCTGGCACCATCTGGTGTATACTTCCCAGGAAGAAATAGGTCAGGAGGGGGAAGAAGGAGGAGTAGAGGCCGTTGACTGCAGGGAGGTTGGCCAGCAGAGCAAATGCCATGCCTACAGATGAAGAAGAGAGTGAAGGCTCAGAGGACAGTTGGCTTATGGAGGTCACAGAGGGTTGAGGTAGGGGTAGGGAGAAGACTAGGAGGAAGCAGCAGGCCAGGCCTGATGTGAGGGGCTTCCCACCTTGTGGCACCTGGATGCATCCCCCACTGAGTCCGCCAAGCAGGTCCGGGAGAAGGTACTCCTTGATCTTATACTTGGGGAGCCAGGAGAGCACAGGAAGCAGCCCAAACACCACAGTTTTGATCTTGGTGGAGGAGCACCTGCAAGGAAGAGGGCAGGTTGGAGAGGTTGGTGACAGCCTGTCCACATATGCATTTGCAACCCACTTGGATCTCGGGCAGGATTCTGGGCTCCCACATTGTGCTGCCTGCCAGGTCCTGAGGAGAGCAGCAGGCACTCTCGAGAGAGAGCTCCCAAGTGCCCTGGCATGAGCTGGGGGCCTCACTGCAGGCTACTCGTCCAGGGAGTCCATAGGCTTGGCTCCGCAGTGCAGACTTCGCAGTGGCTCAACCTTTGAGGTTTGGAGTCTAACTTGAGCTTGATGGCCCTTCTCTAGGAAAGGCTTCTCTGAGCTCTTGTTTGAGTGCATGCAGGTCCAGGCACCCTGGTCTGGGCTCCTGCAGCTCTGCCAGCATCCTCTGCCGTACCGATTTGCCTTTCGTCTGTCTGTAGACAGCAAACCCTGCAATAGCAAGAAGTCTGCCTCTCTTGTTCATACTGTACACAGGGGCTATTGGACAGGCTGCTTAGTAAATACTTGTGGAATAAAAGAATGAATAAGTAATGGACTAGCTGGTACTGAAACTGAGGGGGCTGCCTACTGTCATTCCTTGACCTTTCCCCAAAAGGAAGGCTCTGTTGTCTCTCCTGGGGGGCAGCTCTGCTGACCCCTGTCCTTGCTTTGTGTGATGGCTCCATCCCAGAGTTCTTTGCTGGAGAATGCATCGCGGAGGAGGGAAGGATGGGAACCTGTTTTAAGCCACTGCAGGGTGGGAGAGTTGGTGCCTTCCTTGTTTGTTGAGCACCTTGAGGTCCTTTCATGGGAACTCCTGGGTGGCAGGAACAAGGGTGACAGCCGCTGGATTGATGACTGGAGGGGGTGGGGGCCTTAGCTTTTCTTCTCCCAGTTGAAGGTACTCAAATACTCAGGGCCCATCTGGTGACTCACCAGGCTGCCTGATTAGGCTTCCTTTCCTGTCCAGTACCAACTCCTGTTCTTTGCTCTTGCTCAACAATAGTTTACCTGACACTGGGTCCCCTGGATGTCACCCAAGACTGAAACCAACTTAGATAATGCTCTGCGTCCTGGAAAGTCCGGAAAGATTTTTCTGTCCTAACAAATACCCTTATGGAATGGCATCACCATCAGCCTCTGGCTGCCTGGTCTCCTCTAGGACTTGCAAGTGCCTCTCCCATCCCTGGGATGGTGGAGGGGGAGCTGGACTTGGTGAGTTGCTTAATCATCCCTGAAGTGTTGTTGTAGGAGAGAAGCAGGAGCTCTGTTAGGCTGTGCTCTTTGTGGCAGAGAAAACTAGATTTCATGAGTAAACAGCTGGCTGGGGAAAGCACAACTGCTCATTTGAGGGCTAGTATCTATCTGACCTGCCTTCCTTGCATTTCTGCCATATGCAGGGAAAACAATCTGAAATTGGAAAGAAGAGATGGAGGCAGATGCTGAACAATCACACAGGGCCCTCAGAGACGCCGCAGTGCAGGGAGGGGTCAGCTTTCCAGGCATTCATTCACTGACAGGTATTTATCAGAGCACCTTCTGCATCCCAGGCCCTGATCAGGTCTTGTATCTGCATCGTGGGAATTGTTAGCTTCCTGCCTCCATTTGTATTTCAAGTCATCCTCATCTTTTAGGACCACGGCTGACCTCCGCATTGCTCCAGCACAGAGGCAGCCTCACCTTGAACTCTTTGGGCACAAAGCTGGCTAAGTCCACCCATCAGAGGAGCACGGCTGTGGGCACAGGCACCCAGAGTCGGGGCACTCAAGGCCTCAGCTATAACTGGGCAGAGATGGAGCCTCCCAAGAGAAGCAGGGTTGGGCTGGGGCTTTTGGTAAAACTCAAGTGGATGATTGGCCTGAACTGAACCAGTTCCACCTGCACCTCCACTTCAACCACTGCCAGCAACCTCAATCCAGGTAACTGAATCAGCTCTTACCCGAGGGGAGTGAGTATGTACCAGCCAGCTTACAGCTGGGCCTGGGTGACAGTTGGCCAAGTGGGAAGGGGCTGCGTGGCCTCGAGCCCTCAGGGTATGGATCCCATTGCCTTGTACAACCCTCAGTGTTGGCAGGTGACAATGCCCACAGACATGCCGGGGATATGAAGGCAGGAAGAGCCTGGAGGTAAGACGGACCTTCAGATAGGTGGATCCCCTTTAGGAGAGCTCTGGGATTTAGGGCCTCCTGTAGGAATTCTCTGAACCAGGTGGAAGAAGGACTATTGGGCCCGAATGAGGAGAAAAGGCATGGGGAAGTGGAGGCTTCAGGTATTTTTGTGTAAACAGGGCACCAGGCTCCAGTGCCTTGTAGCCTCCATCCTACAGCTTGTCCACCTGGAGCTCCTAGAAAGACTTGAGAGAGTCTTAGGCACAGAGGGTCTAGGGGTGAGGGGTGCCCTACACCCTTCTGAGACTATAGATGCTTCTGGTTCCTCCTCTCCATCCTTGCTGGGGCTCTCAGAGAAGATGAGCTTGTAGGCGCTTACATTGAGCATTTGAAGCCACCCTGCTGAGGGTCCTTAAGCTCCATTGTAGGAATTCTGGTGCAGGAGCAATGTCCTGGAGCAGGAGGACTGCGGTCAGGAAAGGAAGAAAGAAAGGCTAGGCGTTGGGCCACATTACCTGAAGGCATGGCGAAGTTTCGCTCCCACTGGGTAAGTCCGATCCTTCTTCTCAAACTCCTCATCGAAGAGGGTGAGAGAGTACGCGGCTCTGTCTACCACGTAGCGGGGCCTGGGCTGGCTCATGTCTGCAGTATTTATAAGCTTTGGGAGGAGCAGAGAGAGGGAGGGTGAAGGGCATCCCTCTCCACACAGCCAGGGCCTTCTTTCTCTGCTCCTTGCTGCAGCAGTTTTATGCTGCCCTTCCCCGCCCAGTGCAGCAAGTTGCCTCCCTTCCCTGCACCAGGTCAATTCTTCTGGTGGCCTTCCTTCCCGGGCACTGGTGACACACACCCTCACAGGGGCTGTTTTGCTTGGCACCAGCATGAGGCTGGCACTGCACACCTGTGACATCACTCACCCCCGCCAACCACCAGGTGAAGAGCAGGTGGGAGTACTGGGGCCAAGGTCACAGCTGGATTCAGTATGTTGAGCCTGCTCCTTCCTGGGAGGAGCCTCCCCCCACACTGTCTTTCCCTAGACCTCAGTTTCCCTGGCAGAAAGACTCCTTCTGTTCAGCCAGTAGGTTTGGAACAAACAGAAAAAACAACCTTTAGGGAGGCCAAGGGGTGGCTGAGGGGACCCCAAGAAGACCTTTTCTGGATAGGATACCTTGGACCTCACCCACAGGTTTCACTGGGAGGGACAATGGCATGTCTGGAGAAGTCAACATGGTCCACTGCTGGCTGTCTCTCCCACAGCTTCCGGTGCCTATCCTGTCCCCCACCCTTGTGTACTGCTGGTTCTTTCCTCCTTGCTGTTTGCGCAACCTACTGATGTCCTGGGAGATGAGTTGGGCAGAGCTGGCCGCAAGGGCCCTAGAGACCCTTTTCTCCTTTATCTCTGGGATCCTTTCCCTCTCCCCTTCTTTCCAGGGCAGGAGAAGCTGCTAGAGGGATGTAGGAATAAGAAGGGGCGAGGGGGGAAGCCTAGAGGGAGGACTTATATTCAAAGTTGGGAAGTTCAGGGTGTCTGCAGCCAGTTTGGGGTGTGATGAACATAGGCAACTCACAGGGAAGTGGGCTGCCCTTGACTAGGGAAGGTCATCAGAAGGGAGTGGGCTGGATACTGTTTGTGGAAGAGGACCCTGGGAAGAGGTAGAAAGGCTATTCACTAAGGGTCCAGAAGGTGCTTCTAGCCTGGCTCTACTGGAGAGGTGGAAAGGGTGACCTTGCCTTTCCAGCTCTCTGATTCCTCATCAGCAGGGAGGGTAGCTTCTCTATTTCACAGGGTTGTTGAGAAGATCAGAGGAGTTGAGGATTAAGAAAGGATTAAGTAGAGTGTAAGGGTGGTGCAGATGTGGGTTCCTGCCATTACCGAGCCTGTGCTCCAGTTGATGATGGCTGGGTTGATGTATCCCATTCACTAGGTCTCAGGGCTGAGCCCATTTGGGAACTGTGTCCAGGCAAGTTGGATTTTTGGCAAAACTCTATGCATGACACCCAACTCAAGCAAGACAGTGGATGAACCTCCCTCCAGTGCCCTTGCCTGGGCCTTAGTCCTCAACAACGCTTGTCAAGTGAATCAGCATTTTAGAGGAGTAGACAGAGGCAGCAGTGAATGGCATGTGGGACCTTTCAGAGGGAGAAATGCAGAGTGGCATCAGAAAAACAGCAAAGCTTGGGAGCCAGAATGACCTGTGCTCAAGATCCAGTTTGTTCATCAGTAAATGGGGATAACAACAGTCCCTGGCAGTGGCTGAGAAGCTTCAATGAGATGAGTGAATGGTAACGGCAATGATTACTATTATTAAGATGGGAGGTGTTTCTTCCTCATGGGAGAGATTGTTCTCTGGCTTCTAATCCTTCACCTTCCCTGAGCAAGGGCGGCCTTGCTCTCCTTGGCCTCCCTTTCTGGGGCCTGGTGGATTTCTTAGCACATTCTTTGGGGAGGAGTTCAGAGCTCTATACCTGGGCTTTAGGGAGAGACTTGTGGTTCAGGGAATGTGTCCCAGGCCACCAAACAGACCTCTTGCAAAGAAACAGCCCAACTTTTTCAGCAGTGTAAATCAGAAAAGAGTGCTTAGGAAAAAGGGGCGAGGACAGGAATGCTTATGTCCCTGGCACCCAGCCTGCAATGACTCTGAATCTTCTTCCTAAGATGCTTCCGAATACTTGAAGTGCTAGTTGTGCGTTGGGGGTGCTATTAACATCTGATCCTGCCAAATTCTACTACCCTAACTCCCCCTACCAATGTCCCCATTTCCTCAGTAGTACCTTTGTCACTGTCATGGTCACTTCTTTACCACGAGACCCTGCCCTTTCCCTCCTGCCTCAGCCTCTACATTCATCATTCATCAAACCTTACTGCTCTTTCTTATCCTGCTACCTATCTCCTCCCACCCTCCCTCTTTCCTTCGTTCCTGCTCACTCATTTCTAGGAGGATCCATCAAGCCCCACAGCCTTATTTTGACACTTTTGAATTTTCATCCTCTGGCCTTGTTTAGGTGAACTCAGTAGGCTTGTTGGCTGGGTCTGTTCAGCAACCCTGGCAAGCTTGGGCGTCTGCTCATACTTTCCTCCTTACCTTGGTGCCTTGACTCATTTTGCCTTTCTAGACCTGCCCATCCTTAAGACTTGCTTCTGTTCTTCCTTCTCCTCTCTCCTTCCCTCTCTCCATCTGTGAAGCCTTTCCTCATCATCCTAGCACAGAGGGACTCATCTTTTCCTAAGACCTCCTTCACAGGCTCCTGTCCAGCCTGTGCCCTGGGCATTCCTGACCACCCTTCCAGGGAGGGGAGGAGGAAAGGGGTGTGGGTGGCAGAATTGCTTCAGAGAGGGAACAGGTGGGTGACTCAGGACTGCCCCTGCCCTTCTGGGTAGCTCCCCTACCTCTGGGGCCCGGATGTTAGGAAGTCCCCCCAGTGACACAGGCCAGCAGGGGAAGAGCTCCCTGGCTGTAGTGCAACATGACATGTATCCTTTCCTGCATTGTCTTCCTGTTCCCCCGTTAAATGCCGTGTGCTGGGAAGTTAAATGCCGTGTAGCTGGGAAAGGCGTTGGGAGCTTTCACAATCCTCCAGTGGGCACCACACACGGAAAACAGCAGCCAGCTGGAGTCTAGAAGTTTTCCCTGGAATGGAACTTGGCCACACAAGCCCAGTTCTCTCTTGTGGTTAAGGAAATTAAGTCTCGAAGGTCGTCTGAGCAGGCTTTGATCCCCATCAAGTGCTCTTGTGAGCAGGGGCTTTAGACCCCATGGGAGAACAGCACTGACCTCTGCTCCTGGGGCTGTCCCCTGAGGGGCATCAGAGTCTCCTTTCAGACCATGCTGGTGACCTTGTCTTCTAACCAATGAGACAAAATTTCTGGGTTCTGATTCTTTTCTTTTTTTGGGGGGGGGGCTGGGATTGAAAGCAGGGTTTCTGAACTGAGTTCTATCCTCAGTCTTTTTCACTTTGATACGGTATGTCGCTAAGTTGCTAACCGCCCAGGTCTCCCAGAGTGCTGGGATAATAGGCATGCACCACTGTACCCGAAATTGAATCTTCTTTTGAGCACTTTGTGCTGGGACCTGCCTCCCATCCTGGCTTCAAGTGACCTAAGTTGCAAATCTGCAGGCTCAGGAGCTCCCCCAGCTTCTGCCTGGTGAGGCAGCACTCTTGCTTCCTAATTCCAAGGAGAGGGCTTGAGGTCAGGTAGGGTGCAGCAGTCGAGGTCACCCTTATTCCTATCCAATTCTTTAGGTCTTTGGACTGTGGAGAAAAGGGGGATAGGGCAGTGGAAAGGGTGAGCAGTGTTCTGGGTAGGGCCTGCCCCTTACAGATGGGTTTTAAGGTTCTCTGGGATCTAAGGAGGAGCAGGCGCCTCACTTGCTGGATGAGGGGTGAGGATGTGGAAGAGGAAGCAAGGCAGGAGAGAAGTAGAAGGAACATAAGGGTTTGATCCCTAGTTAAACACATAGCCCTGCAGGGTGATGTCAGCATCGGCCACGGGTTCCACTGCCCTGTGTGTATCTAGGGGCCTCTCCTCCTCTGTCCCCACACTGGATCAGGATCAGCAATAAGAGCAGGTGCTGTGTGGCAATAATGAGGGACAGAAAGTTGACTCTGCCCCTCCCCCACCATGCAGGGAAGGAGAGGCAGGTTGGAGGAGCTGCGGAGACCGAGAGGGGCTGTGTGGCTTCAGGGGACAGAGGGAGCCAGGGAAGAGCAGAGGTAGGAGGTTGGGTACTCAGACAGCTCCTAAGCTTGGGAGGGCAGGGAGGTCAATCTGGGGTTGGGGAACAAGGGTCTTGTGGAGTGAGAGGATTCAGTGGGCCTCCTTTAGGATGAACTCATGCAAAAAACCCCTGAAAAACCTCATGGGGCCCTAGGCTGTCCCCACCTCAGCACACTGGGCTGAGGTGGACTCCATGCCTGGCTGCAGTGCGTACGCCATCACTGCCACCACCGGGGGGTTCTCTTTCCTGCTCCGCAGTCCACTCTGCCTCCCTAGCCCTGCTTTCTTTATCTGCTCTTACCCCCCAGCCCCAGGCCCTGTGCCCTCTAGATGTTACCAAGACTAGAAGAAGGAAAGCAGAAAATCTCTTCAGCAGAGGACAAGGACATCTGGGAGCAGGGCCCAGGAGCCCAAGCATGGCTTCAGTCAGGACTGGAGGCAACCCTGTCACTGCACCCTAGCCTGGCTTCCTGCTCCAGTATCCCTCCTCATGTGCTCACATGTTAGGGGTGGAGATTCTCAGATGCACCTGTGCCAGGTACAGGAGCAGCCCCAGCTCAGCCAAGCCACCTTGGTGTCCTTATTGTGGGCTCCTGTCTGGCCAGTCACTGTGTTCTGAGGAAGGAAAGGTCACTTGGAGGTTTTCTCTCTGTTCCAGTTGCTGGTAGCCTCTGCCTTGTCCAGGTCTGGATCCCAAGGGAAGGGCACTTCTGTCTGACCAGGGTGGAGTGGGATAGGGCAGTGTCCTTAACAGGAGGAGGGAGGCTACAGAGAACCATTGGCCCCCTCCCCTCAAGGCATCTTTAGATACTTTGTTCTTTCTGTTATCTTCATGGTTCTTGGGTGAACCATGGCTGGTTCTTACCCCAGCCTCATTTCCTTCTCAGTGGTGTGAGGAAAATACAAGATGTCCTGGACCATGTCTCAGGTAGGGGTGAAGGCCCCTGCTGTGACCCCTAAACTCTCCCTCTCCCTCTGCTGTCCCTGAAAGAACAGGTGCTGAGAGAATGAAGTGAGCCACAGTCCAAGGGATGCAGAGTTATAGCTAATCTCCACGGTGGGGCCTGAGCAAGGTCAGGTGGCCCCTGGAACTGACACCTTGGTTGACTTGGAGATGTCTCTAGGGAGACAGAGGCTAGTATCACTCCAAAGTAGGGGCCTGGACCAGAGGACCTGTGAAGGCCTGAGTATCTAGATGAAGCCCAGGGTGGCATATGGTGAGTTCCGCGTAAGGAGCCGCTGTGTCTCCAAGCACTGACCCTTTACCCTCTGGAGGTTGGACTGTGTTGAACTGGTCCCCTGTCCCCAGTGAACTGACTCCTGTTGTTCAGTGTAGTTTAAATCACCTTCCTATGTACTGACTATGAGCCTATTTCTTGGAAGACTGCGAGCAGTAAGGGATTTAAAAAAGTCCCTCTCAACCAGGTGTGGTGGCACATCCTTGTAATCCCAGCACTTGGGGGTGGAGGACTGAGACATGGTGACTACAAGTTTGAGCCCTATCTGGGACACTTAGTGACTCAGTGAGACCCTGTTTCAAAATAAAAATAGAAGAAGCTCAGTGTGAAAAGCCCAGTGCCAAAGAAGAGGTGAAAAGCCCACCTGTGCCCCTTGGATTTCATACATATGGGCCTCAGAGCTGCAGAGCAGATCATGGGCAGTGCTGGGGAGAGCCATGGTAGGAGGAGGCCTTGCATGTGCCAGGCTCCATGCTGCCCAGGCAGCTCTTGTCAGGTTCTGAATGCCAGGGCCAGTGTGAAAGCTTGTGGGAGAGGATGGGGCTCTGGAGAAGGCTATCTTTGAGGGTGAAGGCACTCAGGGGGACAGCCCTCTCTTATTCTCCCTGTGGGGGGGGGCTATGTCACACCAAGGAGCATACCCTTGAAGCTGGTGCTTAGAGCTAGTGGGTCCACATTCAAGAGAGGGGTTGGCATTAGGATGACAAAGGATTTGCTTGGCCTGAGTGGGGGACCCTAAGAATGGAAATCATACCACTATCAGGTGGTGACTTGGGACCCCAGAGCTGCTAGACGAGGAATTTGGAAGAAAGAACCTGTGCGGCTGGCTTGTCATCCACTCCAGAGAAACTGGATGTCACTGAGTGTGACTCAGGGCTTCAGCCTGATTTTCAAACCTTCATAGGTCTCCTAGTCCAAGTGAGACCAGCCCTAGCCTCCTTGGAGACGTTAGCAGTCTAACCCTAAAGAAGCATTTGCCTGGGAGCTAAGCCCTGAAGGCCTACTCTCTTATGCCCTCCCTACAAGGGACCTACTCCTACCTGAAGGAGCTGGTCCCCTGGTCACCCTCTCCTTGTTTTCCTTTCCTTCCACTTTTTCCAGCTTCTCAGGGTTATTGGGGACAAATAGGATTCCTTGGTCTGTGCTAAGTGCCTGAGCTGAATGAGTGACAGAGGACATCTGGGAGGGCAGGAGGAGGGGACAGCCACACAGAGGAGGTTGGAGTGCCAAGCATGAAGGGCTCTCTCCTTCCCAGACTTGAAAAGAAAAGGAGAGGCACAGCCAGCTTCTTCAAAGGCTGGCCCTCTGGGGAAAGCCCCACAGTCCCCTCCCCAGGAGGCTTGCCTGGGCAGGTGGCTCTTTGGCTCCCTCTGTGTGGGGGTCTGTGGGCTTCCTCCACAACAGCTCTGACCTTTCACTCCCTCAGCCAAAGTTAGCCTCAAAGTGAGGTCTTTCACGGAAGCGGGGTCCTCACAGGCTTCTCAGAGGTGAAGACCTGGGGGCTGCTCCCGGACTTGGGACCAGTGTGTCCTTCCCACTTTACTCAGCTGGGCAAGCAGTCCACCCCATGCCCAGGTGGTCCTGTCATCTGTCTCCCAGGTGACCCCCTCTGGTGGGGTGGGCTGGGCCAGCGGGGTGGGGCTTACCGGTGGGTGAGCAGAGCGCCTGGGCAGGGCTGCAGGTGTGTCTGGGCAGCGGGCAGCCAAAAGGTGTTCTGAGGTGTGTGAAAGGGCTCTGCTCAAATAATCCAGGGAGGCGTTTATAAATAACTTCACCTCAGGGCCGCGGGGTGAGCCCCGGCTTCTGATTGGCTCTGAGGGGAAGTGGTTTTGAACACTACACCGTGGCTAAGCTCGAGGAGATAGGAAAAGGAGATAAGGGGGAAAAGGCCCCAAATGAACAGCCCTTTTTTTGTTTTACTGGGGGAGCAGGGCTGTTTGATGGGAGCTTGGCACTTCCTAAATCCACCCCGAAGACAATAGGTCACATTCAACGGCCCCTGCTCCACAGGCTCCCCCAAGGCGGTGGCAGCCGAGGAGGGGCATGAGGCAGATTCCTCTCTGAGCTTGCTGTCCTGCTGCTTGTGGGCCGGGGGTCAAGCCAAATAGCTTCCTGGACAATGGGGGCCTTTGAGGCCACCTTTTGGGTGGGGCCCTGGGGTTGCTTGCTTTGAAGGTTGGAGATCTGGGTTGGGGGCAGTGAATACCCCCTGTGGAAGGAGATGTTTGTCTGTGTGTCGGTGTGTCTGGAAGTCCCTGAGAGCCTGTGGGATTTGGGAGCCCTGACAGAGCAGATTCTTGGTTCTGTCCCTGATCTTAAGTTGCTGTAAGCCCTGGCCTTGGTCTGTCCATCAGGGAAATGGAGAAAGCATCCCCCGTCCTCCCAACATCTCAGGAGACATCACGTGAGAGAACACAGGGGCTTGGGGTCTGGTATAGGAGCTCCAGAGACTGGCTGCATGATATGGAAGGTGTCCTGAAGCTGGCAAACCTGCAGCCCATTGGGTCAGCCTTTTCTGGGAATCAGAGTCTGCTGGCCCCTGCCCGGGCTTCTGCCAGCCTTTGAGGTCAGAGATGCCTGCAGAGTGCAGCAGTAGAGACCACACACAGTGGTGCTGACTGTGAGGTGCAGGGGGAGTTTCTTGACCTCTTCTGGGAAGGAGAGACCTGCCCACATGCCAGGTGCTTTTTCCTTGAGACATGTGGGGCTGTGCTGTCCCCATCCTGAGTTCTGAGAGTATTCTGTCTCTCCAGGAGAAAACAAGTGCTCTGAGGTGTGGTGGAATCACCAGAGGGCATGACTGGAAGTTGGGGAGAGAGTCCCCCTGAGAAGGTGAAATGAGCTAGCTTTAGTACATAATAGGACTCAACAAATATTTGTTGAATGAATTGAAGAATTGTCTACCAGCCCAACCCAAGGGAGAGTTTGTAGATGCATGGCTTGTGGGGCTGGGGAAACACCCAGGGTCACTGAGAGTTGTCAGGGTGTAGCCAGCTATGGGCTAAAGAAAGCTAGAGCACAAGTGGACTAACCACGAGGCTCAGGGAGAGATGTGTATATGGTCATTGCCCCTGGGAGCCCTTCTCAGGCCCCTGCATGGTTAGCTTCACTGCTTTCCTGTGGCCCTTTCTGGCTCTCCACTGTAGCATTGATCACTGGTGGTGATCACACACTCACCTGTCAGTCTGCCTCTGAAGCCTGTGTACCCTGCACAGTGAGCAGCAGGCAGGCCTGTCTTGTCCTCTTTTTGTATCCTCAATGCCTAGATCTGGCTCTTAGCAGGAGTTCAGTGTAAGTTTGTAGGATGGGTCGATGATTGTGCAGTAGAGCCACTAAACAAAGCAAAAGCAGAGAGCAAGAATTGGTCCATGGTCCCCTGCACTGCCCAGTGTTCTAGGTAGCCTGACTTGTTCCTACTTTGGCTAGAAAATTCCTAGAAAGCAGATGAGTCATCAGGCTCCTGCTTCTAACCAAGTGGCAGTGGACATCAAGTTCAAACAACTATATCCCTTTGCCCACTGGGGAATCGTTTGGTTGAGCATCTTGGTGGGCAGAGATTGGGATACCTAGCTGACTGGAGCATCCAGAGCCATTGACAGGTACGTGGCCTCTCTTTTGTACTGGGCTACTGATTGATCTGGTATGATTTTGTTAATGTGAGTTAGTGCCTCTGAGTCTGACATGCTTTCCACAGTAATCCTTGGCTTTCATATTGGTCATCTAGTCTAATTCTTATAACAATTGTGATGTAGGCATGTCTCTCTCTCTCTCTCTCTCTCTCTCTCTCTCTCTCTCTCTCTCTCGTAAACTGAAGTTAACTGAAGTAAAATAACTTGCACATGGTCACAAAGATCTCAATGAAAAAGGCACGAACTTACCCTGGATTTTATGTCTTTACTTCCTTTGCCTGATCCATCGTCTCCGGTTAGTCTTTGAACCAGCAAGGCCAAGAGTAGAGCTCATCCAGCAGCTCTCTTGGTAGTAACTTTCTGCATCTTTTTCAAATACTTTCCATGGTAGCCTGAACATATTGGACGTGTTCTAACCCCAACCCGACAAATGGCAGGGCCTCCAACACGTGTGTAAATTGGGAACTTGTTGGCTCCTCTGTGTTTCGCCTAAATTCTGGGCAGGCATGTCTTGTATAGTAAGACCAGAGCAGGAGCCCAGGAGCCACAGATTGGGGCTCAGAACGTGAGACCCAGGAGGTAGGAAACCAGAGATGGGGCAGGCAGAGGGCAGGCAGGAGGGAGAGTAACTCTGACAGCTGAAAAAGTCTTCTTGCAGCATCCTGGACAGAATTATAAACTATGAGATGGGTTAAACACAAGACCCAGAGACAGATGGACAGATGGCAGAAGTCAAATCAGAGAAAAAGAGACAGCAACAGGGAGAAAGGAGCAAAGAACACATTACCATCCACTTGTAGTATTTGTGTTGCGAAAGTGAACATGACATTGACATCCAGAGCAGCTCTGTCCTGGGTGTTGGGAACTGTTGTGTGGTTTTCATAGTAAGAGGGGATCGCTGATCCCAGACCTCTTCCTGGAACACTGTGGAGTCTTCTTCAGAAGCAGCTTGTAGGGTCAAAAGCTATATTCATGCAACCATCCAGTCATTCAAATCCCTTGATGACTGTGTTGTATACAACACCAGGATGCTGTCCTGCGGATGCTGAGATAAATAAGCCAGAATTCTGGTCCTGAAAGCTCACTGTCTGGGGCTGGAGGACAGGGATGAGATGAGAGCACTGTGATGTGGAAGCCCAGGGTGCTATGGGGAGCATAGGAGAGACACTGGCTTTGAGAAGAGGAAAGACTTCCTGCCTGCATAGCTGAGCTGCTAGCCCAGGAGAAAGTAGGGTGGAAGCACTATTCCAGAGGAATTTTCCAGCCTGTTCCCAAGGCTTCTCTGATTTCTTTTTTTTTTTTTAATTTTTTTTTAACATTTATTTAGTGTGTGTGTGTGTGTGTGTTATTTAGTGTGTGTGTGTGTGTGTGTGTATGTGTGTGTGGCCAGCTCAGCCCACCAGGGGGCGCGGCTGGCTGGCATGTGGTGCTGGGGGATCGAACCGCGGTCCCTGTGTTTTGCTTAGCTTAGTTTGTTCGAAGTAGGTGCTTTAGACCACTGAGCCATCTCTCCAGCCCCGGCTTCTCTGATTTCTGAATCCATTCTACATTCTCTGATTTAAAGCAATCCCTGGGTTTCCCTCTGATCCAGGGCTTGGTTATCCTCGTCTGTCCCTGTTCAATGTATGTGCAAACACGTGTATATGAATACACATACAGAACAGCTTTTAGGGACTTTATGAATTAAGCAGATAAAGCCACCATCTTCACAGACCTCTCATGTCACAGCTCACTTTGAGGAGGTCCAGCTAAAGAGCAGCTCTTTTTCAGATGAGCAAACTCAAGCTAGTGACTGATAGTCACTAACAGTCAACGCTAACTGCGTGCCCACCTCCAGCCTTGTTCTCTGCTACCGCTGTCCAGCCTCGGGCCTCAGGCTTTTTCTGTGCCTGCTGGCTTCTTGCAGGAGTGCTATGTGAGGCTTGTGCCAAGGGTGTGGGCAGGATCGTGTTTTGGCCAGAGTGGCCCAGTGACTTAAACAAACACCTCCAGGCTGAAGACAGAGGAATCTTCACCCTTGCCCTGCAGGGGCAGGAGCTGACCTGGCCCAAGGAGGCCAGCTGCACCAGGGCATGGGAACCAGATGGCTGCAGAGCTCCCCAGACAAGCAAATCATCACCCCTCTTCCCAGGGAGGCACAGGGGTTTGGCACCCCAGCCAGACACATCCAGCTGGCCAGGAGGGGATAGGGGACAAGGTGATCAGGGTGAAGCCAGCCAGGGTTTAGTGTTCCTGAATGAGGGACCTGGCCTCCTTATGCAGCCAGCTCTGTACTAGGCTCAGGGGACACCAGCGTTGTGAGAACAGTCCTGGGGAGGTTATGACCTGACAAAGCAGGCAAAAGCAGGCTTCCCGAGCACACAGAGTGCCACAGATTGGGAGGAAGCCTAGCCCCAGCCCCTAGCCTCTCCTTCCATCCTGACTCTGGAGCTCTCCTTCCATGCAGGGGCAGAAGCCATGTGGGCTAGGATGGGCTGCCATTCCCCAAAGCTCAGCACCACTCATCCCTTCTTGCTATCCCTCCAGGGGATGGAGCTTCACCTGGCTGGCTTTGCTGGAGGCTAGGGGCAGGGAGCCAGGTGTGGTGTGTGTGTGTGTGTGTGTGTGTGTGTGTGTGTGTGTGTGTGTGAGAGGTGGGTTGTATCCTGTAGGTCCCAGAAAGAGGAGTCAATTCTGCTGAGAACCAGAAGTCAGTGCCCTGGTGGAGGATGTCCTTTGCAGTCTATTGTTCTGGGAATTCTGAGAACAAGGCTGGAGGTGGGCAGGCTGCTAGTGGTAACTGACAAGCCTCCTGGGGCAATTCTGACTTTGAGGTCTTAGGCCAAGCCCACATTAGCTGCCCATAGGGGCTACATCAGAGGGTGAGGTGTTAAAGGGCTTAAAGCCCCAATTTAGGGAGAACCGAGTGAGCAGGAAAAGCAGGAAGTTGGTAACCTTGACTTCCCAGGCTCTGTCCGCCCCATCCCTAGGTTCTGGCTTGGACAGTGAGGGAATTAGGTAGACATCAGTGTGCTGTGACTTTAGGATAGAGGAGAACAATGCCCTACCAGATTTCCCTCCCTTGCTATTCTGTTC